GCTACAAGCTTGTCTAGATGCTTGTCGCCTGCCACAATCCAAAGTGACGCCTCTTCTTTTTAGCAGAACTACTAGGCAAATGTCCCACACTAGAATGGCGTTAGTAGTTGGTCACATATATGCACCTGCTGTAGTGCTTCCTGATCTATTAGGCAAAGAAATTAAGAAAGCCCTTGCAACTGTCAAAAAAAAAACTGAAAGCAATGACAATGCTGTGATCTGGTACTTGTCTTTGATGTGTAATTTGACTTCCATTGGCCTTTAGATAGTCTGGCTTGTGACTTAGTATTTCAGAATAGATAATATTTCAGAATAGATAAGATCCAATGTTTATCGTTAATGGCTACCAATTGATTTAACTTATACGGTTGGTGACTATTGTATGCAGATTAAGAAGTTCAGGGATGCACTTGCAAAGCACAGAGCAGATAGATGTAGCCTTGGCCGAACTCGGGGACTAGAAGAATCAGAATTGTTGGCCCTGGCTGCAAACAAGGACCTGCAGTTCACCTACACCAAGGAGCTAGAACTGGCTCCAAGCATGGAAGATGTCGCGGAGGTCATCGCTGCTGACCGTCCAAGGCTTCCAACAGCAACAACGCCATTGGCAAGGCAGGGATCTGAGGACAGGGCCTTGGTCTCATCTGGAAGATGATATGTGGTGATCGCCACTTCCTTCAGTCGTGTATAGTTCTTTATCGTTCTTCGTGTGTACAGTTTGTTCCTTTTCATAGTTGCAGAGTGCAGGCTTCCAGAATTTTACTTGTGAAGCCTGCCAACGCTGCCTGCTAGAAATGAAAAATGTGTTAGCAATAGCAACAACTGTTGTGTGCCTTTGGTCTTCTGGTAATCGTTTGGTACGAATAAGTCTACTTATTTGGTAGTGTTGCATTTTATAAATCGCTGCGCCGTGAGTTGCTCTTGTTCTTTGTAATGAAATGGTACGGTGGCTTTGTGAGTGAATTGTTTATGGTTTACCAAGTCTATTTTAACTCAGAATGATGGCATTATCAGAGCTCAGAAGGCAAGGGTTTTTTTTTTTAGCAGAAGAAGGCAAGGCAGCTGGAAAAGGGTGCAGGATTACGGCCTGGCACCAGTAGTGAAGGCCCAGGTCTTCTGGCCCAGGATTACGGCTTGGCACCGGTAGTGAAGGCCCAGGTCTTCTGGTCCAATCCGTATGTCTGACGACTAACGGGCCCAATATCGTCGCCTTCTCAGGGTGGCCTATGCATTAAAGACAACCAATCCATCGATTTGGGCCGTAGATGTTTTATTGTTTTTATATCATCAATATCCAACATGATGTCCATCCAGGGCTTAATAATTTATCTTTCCTCGGCCACAATGTTTAAACTGAGGCCTCGTTCGTTTTGGGCCGGAACGGTCCAGAACGTGGCCTGATCTGTCCAGATTGATATGGCCCGGTTCAAAGTCAGGTCGGGCCAGAATTGGTCGTTCAGTTATATACGGCCCGGAATTAAAATGGGTCAATCCCGGCCTTTCTTCCCTCTCTTTGGCCCGGAACGGAGACGAACCCTCATAGGTTCGGAACCTATCTTGGGCGTGGCGACGCGAGCTGGCGCTACTCGAGCGGACGCGAGCGGCACGAGGCGACGGCGACTGCTTCTCATCGAACGTCCGCGCTCTCCGCCGCCTTCTCACCGGTAAAACACCGTCCTCGTCCATGCCCCCTTCTCTCCCTAGCGCTAGGGTTTTTGCTAGGGTTCTTGCCTCCCTGCGTTGGCAGTTCTTGAGGAACGTCGGGAGGTGGCCCAGGAGCGGGTGTGTGGTGAGGCTGTGGGTGGTGGGCCTCTTCTTCTTCTTGGTAGTCAGGTGGTAGGAGATGTAGAGGAGGGGGAGCTACTGCTGCTGCTCAGTTTGCTGCTTGCTACTACTGTGGGATGGATGGATGAGTGATTCTGTTGCTCTTGTCTGGTGATCCAACGTAGCCGTAGGGGTTCTTGCTTGTCCAATTCCACAGATCTCTACACATCTCCTCGACCCCGTACTTTGCCCTGCAAGATTTTATATTGTTCTCGTTAGGATCGAGCGATGCCATGCTGAACCTGAACCCAAAAACCAGCACCACTAGCAGCCTATCACTAGACGCAATCGAATCAATCAAAGAATGCAGCAGCGTAGTCCCGTGTCATCACCTGCCGCCGTGGGAGGGCTTAACATACACGCAGCATCCATCGAGGCTCCCCTCTTGTTGTGGGAGGACCGGGGGAGCACCAAAAAACTAGGATTCAATCATCTTTGGCGTCGGCAATGAGCAGCCAGCCAGCGGATGTTATCTCTCTGAACGTGGACCCAAAAAACCAGCATCAACAGCATACTTACTTCCATTTGAGCTCTTTCTCTGCCTTGGCAGTTGCCGCATAGGACGATCTCTGCGTCTCCAGGCCTTCGCCCAGCACACACTAGAGGGATTTTCTGTATAGACAGAATCAGACAGTCAATCAATCAGTTAGTAGCCGGGAATCAATGTATAATAATAACTTAACATCATTCGGTAAAGGCATGCATGCATGATGGTTTATATAAATAAACTTTTTACCAAGCACTTTGGGAATCCGTCGCTCGGTTATAGTGTATCTATTTTCTACTCCTACCTTACTAGCTTGTTTTCCCAAGCACTTTGTAGAGCCAGAGCTTGCTGTCAGTTTCAATTTTCAGTGTACTGGGGAGATCAGTTCATGTGGCAATTAGCAGCTATTTCAGCGTTGGTTGTCCAGACCTACCTCTGCATGGTGATGGAGTAATCAACTCTGATTGAACCTCCGCCTTCTTGGGATCCAGTACCAACTCCAGAAGGTACTCCAGAAGCTTCTATATGACTATAAGTTTATATATGCTTCTATATGACTATCATCTTTATTATAGCTTCTATATGACATGGTCAATAATATTTAGCTTCTATATGATATGGTCAATATTATTTAGCATCTATATGAATAAGGAACTGAGTGATCCTTCTATTCTTAAAAAAGATTCGGGAATAAGCTCATCCATTATTTAATCCATGGCCCAACCAGATAATCCTTTGTTTGAGTTTTTTTATTCGGCTTTTTGTTTGGTGGGTAAGAATCAGGTTCAGGTTTGCAGGCTGTGTTCTGTGTCTTGACAAAAATTTCAGTTTATGTGTTGACTGCTTTCTTAGTTTCTTGCGGACTAAATTGAGCTTCTTTTTTGTTTTAAAGGCTTATGAGTTGTTATTGTCCTTTGTTTTTAAGAAGAAAGGTAGGACCGCTTTGACCTTGCAATCCATTCGTTGGGTTCAGTAGGGTCTGCAGCTTGGTCATTTATTTCTTTATCTTTAGTTTTCTGAAGCTATACAATAGTGCTGCTGCTCTGGTTCAAAACATGCTGCATTAGACATTTGGTAATTATGTTGGCATTTTTCTGCGAACCATATATATAAACTTAGGCAAAGTTATAAAGAATCATGTTTATGAACACCCTACGGCTGACAGCATGCATTAGGCATTATAAACAAACTCAACATAGGTGTTTTTCTGCAGGTCATTGATTGATGGCTACCGTTTTTTGTTCTAGTAACAACAATCGGTGACAGTAGCAACTTATGGATTTAGTCATCGTCATCCAAACACAGAAAAACACCATTGATTTTGGTTGTTGCCACCTTTTTTGATTTTTGTGTGTAGTTAAATGAGAAGGCTTTTAATCTATGGGAAAGCCTCTGTCATCATGGTGTAGGTTTTAGATAGAGAAGTGAGAAGATCACAAATAGATGTATGAGAAGAGCCATAGTACTATCACACTAGATCTTTGAGGTTTGGCAACAATAGGATATCTGTATGTAAACGCAGGTCATTAGTGTCCATGGCAAGCAAGAGATGTCCTGCTGGATATCCAGATAAGAGTAATTTTAGATTGCAGTAAGCAAGTTGACACAAGCTGAGCAATGTTTGAAAAATTTAGAATGAATGTTGTGATTAGTTTCAGAAGTCACGCGAGACTCAACCCTTCTGAAACTTACCATTTCCTCTTTTTTTTTTTGCATGCGTGCAACCAATGTTTGCTGTGATGACGTGACAAAACTAGTGAATGAATCGAAGACATGGGGCCAATTCTCTTCCAATGTTTGTTTAGGTGCTAGTTTGAGAGGTCTCTTATGTAAAGACTCGTAGCTGGGTATTTATTTTTAGTTTGTTTGGGAGTATACGATGAAGATTCAACTATGTTCATATGTTTATGTAATGAACATGCATGTGAAATTAGGCCAGTTCGAAAGTCAACAACACTGATGTGCAATGTTTGTGTGAACTTGCAAGGCGTGTGCAATGTTTGGTTTATCAGCGATCCATTCTAGGATGCATTAACTTGATGAATGATTGATGCTGAAGTGAGGAAGGTTTTATTCCTGTGCAACTGAACAGTGATTTTGACGAGAAGAAACGAATCCTAGTCTGAAATTGAATCTAACAGGATTAAGTGAACCGACCGGATTCAATTGATCCTTGCCCCGGAAGCGTACCCTTGCTACCGAACGGGCCCTGAGTAAACTTTCCTGCAGCAGATCCTAAAGTTCTTCTTGTAAACATTTTTTTTGGGGGACGTATGCCAAACTTTTGTGCTCACACTTTAGAGAGTTGGCAACAGTATACAGTATACCATCACTACATTATTTATCGTCTACGAATTATATATAATATACTTGTACACTGTAACCCTTTCTTGTTGGACCCATTTAGGTCCGAAAATGATGATTAATACATTTTCCTTTTTTCTGACAACAAATGTACAAAGTAGTCCAAAAAATAACGAACAAATTTCCCAATTCACAATCAGAATAAATATACATCTGCTGCTGCACTTAGGGACGATCACAAACCCGTAAATATGCTTAATTTTTATGACCTATTTATGGGTTCGCGGACAATAATCATCCCTAGCTGCACTTGGCCCAACGTGGTACTCTATCCCCAACGGCCGAGCTAGAGCTAGGTAGATGATCCGTATCACTATTAACTCATTCAGTAGTAGAAATTATAGTTGCTTGCGAAGACCATGCCGATTTGCCACCACGACGGCACGACGTCGGTCATGTAGAGCGTCTGGCCGCCGGTGGAGGTGACGGAGAAGGAGAGCGCCTGGCCGAAGAGCGGCGAGTTGCACTGCCAGTTGGCGCCCCAGTTGCGGTTCAGAGCGACCCACCCGGTCTTGGTCCCCTTCACCGACACGGACCGGATGGAGCCGCTGCCGGCCACGTTGGAGAACTGCACCAGCTGGAAGAAACTGGACCCTCCGATGGTGATCCTCATCCCTCCCTGCCTCCAGCACGTCACCCTGCACCACCACCATCACCGGACCGGCGATGAGTTCGTCGGAGAAAGGCAGGAACGAAGCCAGGATATATATATATATATATAGAAGAAGACACGTACGCAACGCTGCACCTGCGCACTGCACTTACTGCTGGTAGAGGACGGGGATGATGCCGGCGCTGTAGACGCCGATGCGCTCCCAGGCGGGCTGCGCCATGTCGAAATGCGGCCGCGGCGGGTTGCACCAGCCGCCGCTGTTGCTGGGCTGCGCCCAGTTGGGCGGGCAGAAGTTGGTGGCCGTGACAGTCACCGCGGCGCCGCGCCTGCACCATGGCGACGCGTTGCTGTCGCACATCACCAGGTAGCACTGCCCGCACGCCGCACCGTCGTTGAACAGCACCGAGCTCAGCGCCGCCGTGTTCGTCCCGTACCCGGCCTGGTACAGGTTGCCGTACCCGCATGCGCCACCTACACGTACGATCGAGTGCTGCTGATTAGCTCGGGAATCCACACTGCACTGCACGCGGCTTTGGAGTTGTTATTTACCCATTGTGCCGGAGCCGTCGCGGCCGCCGTAGAACGTCGCCGTCCCGTAGTTCCAGCCCTGCGCCGGCGCGAAGAACGTCGCCGCCAGGACGGCGGCGAGCAATGCCAAGACTCTGTCCATCTATCTGTCGCAGAGAACAACACGGATACAGATTATCGAGTAGTGGGAGTCGTCGGTTTCAGTAAACCAAACCAGGAGCTGAATGCGTAGGATGCTCTGACGGATTTGGGGTGATCGTGGCGTGGCTTATATAGATTCAGGGAATGGGAATTATGCGCGGCGCAGGGCACGGGAATTGCTGGGAACATGCGATCGATATCCCACTGCGCTGCGCTGGGCTGCTAGTGCTAGCTAAGCTCTCACATGCGTGCAAGGCAATCAAAATGGACGCAGCGTACTGCTCATCAGTTGACTCCTGGGCTTAGGACTTCCTGCATCATTTTTTCTCCTGATGTGATGATAAGAAGCATGGCATGGCATTCGAGATCGATCATATGCATCTCGTGCACCTCGGCTGCATGTTCAGTTATCCGTACTTGCCGGGGTTGAGCTGAGTTGGTGACCTACCTCTGCAATAGTTTATGAAATAGACTATAATTTGGAATGAGATAGATCCTATAGCTAGCTAACTATGATTTGGAATGTGCATGGCCATTCTCGTTTATCTCTTGTACGTGAAATTCGGAGAGTTCTGACCCACATGAGGCCATGAGGGCCAGCGGTGTCAGCACATGGATTATGCCCTGGAGGTGGATAAACAACTGAGAGAACTAGCCGCGTACGCAGATGCTAAGCTCAATCATGGCATATCTGGTCTAGAAGAGTCAGAGGTTTATCGACCGGCCGTACCACCACCGGATTCTTCAGGTTTCTTTAACATTCATGGAATCATTTGCCAAGTTGCACACAGCATGCTCTTTTTTTTTCACTGTAATAACAAACCAATCTTAAGAATATCTTATACATGAACTTTGCTGGTATTTCACATGAGGCAATTCACTTCACACTTCACTTCTTATTGGTGAACGGTGATGAAGAATTTTCGCGTCCCATCCAAACAAACAAATCGTTAGCGTTCTGCTGTCCTACACGCCTATCACTAGCTCCAAGAGTCAAGCATTATGTTGCTTCCAACATTAGCTATGCGCGACGCAACGGGTATCTATCACAGATCAGATTGCCAGGTTGTGCGAACCAGTTGCTTTGGTCAGTGGCCGCAGTTCACAGCAGGGGCAGCGCAAGCAGGCTTCTCGCTTTGGGACGTTTTGAGTTGCAATCACCTGGGTTGGCCCAGCGAGTAGGGGCCACTCTTGCACTGCCACAGATTTGGGCTTGGCCCAACTTGCATGCAAGTGAAGCCTATAAGCCCAACTTCAACCACTAGGGATCGTTTGTCAGGTCTAGGATCCTAGCCCAATCACTCATCCAAAGTGTACTCTTGGAGTCCAGCAAGAGTTTTTTTATAATATAATTAAATGCATTAGTGACTCCTAAACTTGTCACGACGTGTTACGTCTATAAACTTTGAAAACACATTTTAGCCCCTAAACTTGTTAACTGGTGCGTTGCAGGTCCATTTGTAGACCATACAGACCACTATGATACACCACTTAATATGTTTAGAGACCCAGAAATATATTTTTCAAAAATGGGTGGACCTGTGGCACCTCTTGACAAGCTCATGGTCCGCTCATGCATTTAACTATTTTTAATATATGACAAGGAGTCCAACAAGATATTGACAAAGCCATGAATGGGGCCTCCATATCTGATTAGGACAATTAATGATCTTGTCACAAAATGTTTTTGGTAGGGCTCCTTCGGAGGAGCGGAGCTGTTTTGGAGGAGTCATAATATGTGACTCTTCAAAAAACAACTCTGATTCCTCTTTTTTCACTGAAAAATGGCTTAAAATACTAAGCCGTTTGGTAGGATTCTTTTACAGGAGCCGGAGAGGAGCACTATCAAATGGTGCCTAAGAATCAAGAGTAAGATGATCATGGAGTTAGTTACACTTGCAAACCGTGCATAGGTGAATTGATAGGTTCCATTTGGTGCTAAGATTAGGTCTTAGACTTCAAGTGGCTCTACCTGCGAGTTTACGGATGGGATTACTGATGGGACACCGTCTCGCGAAAGAACTGGAGCGCAAGCAAAAGTTGAATCAGAATCACCCTAACCATGAATCATGATTCATGAATGGATCTTCAGTTGATCAACCGCCTAGCCGGCTCGCACCATACACATATCACACAATTCATTCAAACGGTTCCTCCAAATTATTTTTTTTTCGAAAGATGGCAAAAGCTTTGCTGGATTTTTATTAGACGGAAAAAGAGAGAGACAAAAATTATAAGATTACAACTCGAGCCATGCTCGCTACTTTGACTCTTAGGCCAGCCACTCCACTCTGAACTTAGCTTGACAGAAAACAAAAACCGAAGAAAAGAACTCCCTAAAAAAAGAAAAACAAGGGAGAAGAAAAAACCACTATCTCTGCTCATATGATCTTGTTGCCGCCTGATATTGCTCCACGTCTTCCTTGCATAAGAAGGCTACTTCCTTTGGTTGTAGACTCTTGTTCTCAAAAGTTCTTCTATTCCTTTCTTTCCATATATTCCACCAAAAATAAATTATGACGCCATCAAATGTTTTTCTCTGGCTTTTGTCGATCTTAGTCCGACATCTTCGCCAATAGTTGTGCAGAGATCCATTGATTCTAATGTTATCGATTACCGTTAAACCAAGCCACTGTTTTAGGAAGGCCCAAGCTTGTTTTGTGAAGTCGCAGTCTTTGCACAAGTGCGTGGGGGTTTCAAGTTCATTACTGCAGAGTTTACATATCGGATCATTCGGCCAATGTCGTTTTATCAAATTGTTAGCCGTTAGGATCTTCTTATGTAGCAATGAACATGCAAAGAACCTGCATTTGGATTAAACCTTTGCTCTCCATACTGGCGTAAGTTTCAGCTTGCTGAAGGTCCCTTGGAATTGGATTCGGTAGGCACTTTTTGTTGTATATTCCCCATCTGTTGTCCAACGCCAAACTATACTATCCTCCCCGCTTTCATCTAGCTGCACCTGCTGTACAGCATTCCAAAGCAAGACATACTCATGTAATTCAGTCGGCGAAAACACCGGGTTGATATGCTCTATCCACTTATTGTCCTGCAAAGCTTTCCGCACCATGATATTTTTCCTTTTAGCTTTTTTGAATAGTGCCGGGGCCATGTTTTTGAGGGTTTGTCCTTGTGCCCAGGATGACGACTAGAACTTGGTGAATTTCCCATCTCCGATTGTTACTATTGTGGATGCCGCAAAAAGTTCTCGGTAGTCTAGCTCCAATTTTGTCTATTAAAGGTTTGACTTCTACTTTGCGCAGCTTTCTAATATGGAGAGGGAGGCCGAGGTACTTCCCGGGGAACTTGGCGATCTTTCCAGGGAAATTCTGTAGCAGTTGGGTGACGACATTGTCCACCATCCGAATTGGGAAGATTTCCGTCTTGGAGATGTTGATCTTGAGGCCCGAGCAATCGCCAAAGAAGGCTAAAATCCTATGTAGGTGTTCTAGCTCTAGGTTGCTTGGGTCAGCGAAGATTGCCGCATCGTCCGCATATAGTGAGCAGCGTAGGTTGGCCGCCTTTGGCAATATCGGTTTCAAGATGCCCCTGTTTGTAGCAACTTCAATGATGCGCTGTAGTGGATCAATGGCAAGAATGAATAGAAGGGGTGATAGGGGATCACCCTGTCGTAGTCCCCTAGCATGCCTAATCTCTTTTGATGGTTGGCCGTTGATCAAGACCCTGGAAGTTGACGTTCCCAACATAGCTGAGATCCAGTCCCTCCATTTTTTACTGAAACCCAAATTCTCTAGAACCTCTAACAAGAAACTCCACCCTATTGAATCAAAAGCTTTCGAGATGTCAAGTTTTATGAAGAGCGCCGGTTTCTTTTTCTTATGCAATAGTTGGATCACCCGTTGTGCATAGATAAAGTTGTCATGTATGCACCTCTTCTTGATGAATGCATTTTGTGCTTTTGAAACTAGAGTGTTCATGTGAGGCGCTAATCTATTAGCTAGGATTTTCGTGATGATTTTTGCGACACTGTTGATGAGGCTTATAGGTCTATAATCGGATAAGGATGATGCTTCTGATGTTTTCGGTAGGAGGACAATATTGGCTGCATTGATCAATCCCAACTTAGATGTTCTATGGTTATAGAAACTTATGATCGCCTCAAATCAAATCATGCTTGATGATCGACCAGCAGCGTTTATAGAAGTGTTCGATGAAACCATCAGGGCCAGGTGCTTTCTCGGCCGGCATCTCCTTGATCACGACCTCTATTTCTTGTTTGGTGAATGGAGCATCTAGATCGTCCAGATCATGGTGATTGTAGCCTAGCTCATTCCACTTTAATCCTCTAGTTCTTGTGCTCGTTGTCCCAATTAGGTTGGAGAAGTGGGTGTGCGCTAAAGTTGTTTTGCTTTCTTGCGATATGGCCGGTCCTGACTCACCATTTAGCGTCGCAATGAAAGATCTCTTTCTTCTCATGTTTGCGTGTAGCTGAAAGAAACGTGTATTGGTGTCTCCTTTGTGGATCCATGTTAGCCTCGAGTGTTGGCGTGTTCGAGATTTTTGTATCGCTGCAATCCCTAGAGCTTTGGCTTTTAGGTACTTATTGAATTCCAATTCCTCCGGCATGAGAGTCCTAGCTTCTTGCGCCTTCTCCAAATTTGCTAGTACTATGTTTAGTATCGCCTAGCTTAATTTCCATCTGCCCAGGGATAAGCGCCTCCAATTTCTTAGCGCCTTGCCCGTGCGTAGCAATTTGACATGGAGTCGCAATATGGTGTCCTGGGTGTCCACCGGTGTGCTCCATGCCTTATGAACCTTGTCAGCAAAACTAGGCATCTGTA